TACCAGACAATATGTTTATCAAGTTTCAAAGAAACAGTTTCTTCTAAAACTTATTATCATTTCATATTTGAGTGTCTGTAAAGGTATAATTTTTGACTAATTGAATCAAGTTATACAAATCAGATTGAGACTTGATTAAGCTAGAATATAAATGAGTTAATCTAGAAAAGTGATTAATTAAGCAACATATATAAATCATAATAACATATTTCTGGTTGAAATGAAAAGTATTTCTGTAATGATATCTGGCTCATGAATATCTAAGAATAATAATTAATTCTCGGTTTAATCTGCTTTCTTCTACATACTGTTGATTCCGTTTTTGACTTGTTTGAATTTATATTGATAGTTAGCTGAAACGTATAATCAAATATTCATAGTTAGACTTGTAAAGATAAAACTTTATAATGAGAAGAGACAGAGATATGATAAACCTTTATAATGTGAAGAGACAGAGATTATGATAAACCTTCATTACGAGAAGATACGGAGAATATCATAAACCTTCATAATGAGAAGAGACAGAGATAATCACAAACCTTCATAAAAAGAAGAGACAGAGATGATCATAAACCTTAATTAAGAAAAGAGACACAGATGTTCATAAACCGTCATAACGAGAAGAGACAGAGATAATCCTAAACTGTTATAACGAGAAGAGATGGAGATGATCACAAGAAGAGCTTCTAAGAAGAGCCCCCATAAGGAGACATAAAGATAAACTCTCACTATGAGAAGAAAGAGATAAAAGCCCATAACGGGAGGATACTTCAGCCTCAAACTAACCTTCAAAATAAAAGTACATAAAGATTAATCTTCAAATAAGAAATGAGTAAAGATGAATATACACGAGGAAAGATAGACATTCATAACGTGAAGATACCGAGATGTTTATAGTGAGAAGTCAGATTGTAAGTGATATATGGAGAAGAAACTTCAACCGTACCTTCAAAACTGGAGATAAATCTCGTAAGGCGAACATATATAATCCTACACAGTGAGAAGAGACACACATAGTGAGCAGAGAAATTAAACCTTTATCGTGAGCGGAAACTAGATAAACCTACAAAGTGAGAAGACATAGATAAATTTATATAGTGAGAAAGAAAAACAAACCTTTATCGTGAGAGTAAACTAGATAATCTAGTTATTAAAAAGAGACATAGATAAACCTACATAGTGAGAAGAGACATACATAAACCTTCAAGAGACCCAGATAAACGCTCATAATGAGAAAAAGGACATAGATAAACCTACACAGTGAGAAGAGACATAGATAAACCTTTAAAATGAAAAGAGATCTGGTTAAACCTACACAATGAGAAGTGACAAAGATAAACTTGCGTAGTGAGAAGAGACATAGATAACCCTGTAAGTCCGAAGGGACATAGATAAACCTATATAGTGAGAATACACACATAAACCTACATAGTGAGAAGAGAACTAGATAAATCCATATAGCGAAAAGAGGCATAATAGACCTACATAGTGCGAAGGGATAGAGATTATAGTGAGATTATAAATAATCATAGTTATAGGAGACAAAGCTAAACCTACATAGTGAGATTAGTGATAAGTTATCATCAGTAAAAAATTGAAATAGGCTGTATTTGCCAGTCAAAATTTCGAACCCCCTGTTCAAGATCTGAAGTGTGATGTATCAACAAATTAAAGAGAACAGAGAAAGACAAATTACATGATAGTTTTAAGTTGCGTTATAAACATTAATAAAATCCCAATAAATTTCTCCATTATTACGTTATAATGACAATCTAACGTGATTGTACTCAGTCAAATTGTGTAGCAATCGACATAACAATTACCACAAATTTCCCCAAATTACCGTCATGTTGTTCAGTGTGTCTAGAAAAGCCACTGAGCTAATTATTTGTTGGAGATCCTACAGTTTTTATTGTCGTGATTGGTATTTAAAAGGAACAAATGTGTTAAGTGACAAGAACAAACTTCATAGATAAAAAACGTCCTTTACCATTTAAAATTATACTTCATAAATGTAATACTTATTTGAAAGGGGTTTGATCAAACTGGTTAAAACATAAAATATACCACAATGTTTGTTGAGCCGAAGTGGGTGTTTCATTATAAAATAGCAATGAAATTGACAATGTCTTATAAAATTATTGATTACTAACCATCTTTTAGATTCTAGAGAGGTAATCAAATCTAATTCTCAACAATTACCCACCAACTCAACTTCTCATTGCTTTTAAACTCAGCCTTATAAACACTGGTATTAAATCGATTACCACGGTCTTGAAGAGGGCTGATTAGAGTGAATGATGACTACAGATTATAGGATTCAAACTGTTATTGCCTTGTTTTCTGTTTTACTTGATTTGTCGACGCACGATATCCTTATAAACCCATTAAATATAACATTCAATTCAATTATTACTGATTTGTAATGGAAGTGATTCATATAAGTTTATTATTGAATGTCTCTTAGGGCTATTATTTTAAGAGTCATCTTTAAGACGATAAAGGAAAGCTTGGTAAAATAAATCTTTAGCAACTCAAACATGCAAGCTTAACACATACCATCGACTAATGCATTGTTGTCAAGTTTGAAAAAAAGATACACTTATATCTTTCGTATGAACAGTTGCCTACTGAAAATTTGAAGGTTACCTTTTGAGATCCATGTCTTACCAGGAAGTAAAGATTTAGAAATTCTATTAGTCTTTAGAGCCCTTTCTAATAAATGTTCTTTTCGTCATCGAAAACAATAACTGTCAATATCCACCCTTTTACCGTCATCGTAACTGCATTTATACATCTTGATATCCAAACATTGGGCACAATATGATTAGACCAATTATAGCAGTAAATTTTTAAACATTACACAATGTTGTGCAGTTTAAGGTTTCTAATATTCGACAATTTAAGCACAGTTTTTCCTGATGTGATAAGTCTAAAATGGTTTCTGGAATCCCATTTATAAATTACAGTTTATACAGCGAAATTACTACTGGATAAGTAAAAGTTGAACATTTATTGAGTGTGTTTGTGGTAAAGGTTTCAAATTAATATTTTCAATGAGTATTTTTTCACTCTTTTTTACAGCAGATATTATATTAAATGTCAATAATACAATACTATAATACAAGTGTTAAAACCATCTTCTACGAGGTGATATCAAAATAAAACTTCATGTCAACCAATATTAATTCCTCATTTATTATTTATATGTCGTTTTTCATACCTCATAATGGATTTCAAATGAGATTTTTGTATCGTTATTCTTGGCATGTGTTCTTATACAAAACCCTATTGAGTGAAGGAGATAAGGGACAGGACCTACCCCCTACTCATCGTTTTACCAATCTTAAGACGACCGTAATGAAAGGAAAACAAGTATTTTAATGGCCGAAGTTTGACGAGGAGAGTTTTTTTCATAAATATTAACTGGACGAACAATAAGCTGTGTGAATGGTCAAACATATAAACGATTTTGTCATTGAATTTCGTGTTTCACTAACGTGACACTTATCCATTAATAATTGCTGGATACTTGTAAAAGTTAAAAATGTTTTATTTAAATATATTACAATAAATATGATATGATTGATGAATATTAAAAGTAGGTTTTGTAGATGGAGTGTGAAACTGGCCTCTTTTCATTTCAGCATTACTTTCACCTTTTCTGTAAAATATGGTTTTCAAATATATTAAACGCGTATTTCATGATTTGAGATGAATCCTTGGTGCTTTACTGACAGGTAAAATTATCTTGGTTTTTTGGGGGTTTTATTTTGTTTTTGTGTTTTTTTTTTATCAAATTAGAAATTATGTGTATATTTATCAATTTGCTACCATCAGGTAACATTTAAACACCTAGATGATCAAATAGTGAATGAGACAGTTCGTTTTTTTACGATAGAAGATGTGCCTTGTGTTGTGAGAACTATTCATCAAATAAGATAACTGATATTAATGCTGCATCAGAATGTTGCTTTTATTTTTTACTATACCATTTTTGTTTCACCTTTCAGTAAGACATAAAAAATCAAGTCAAAGAAATATTTCATGGCATCGATCACAATTATAGGTACTATGTTGAGATTTAGCAAGTGCTGTTGATTATATCATTGAACTATGTTCATTGTCGTGCGATATGCTTCCCCTACAGACCCAACAGCCATAGAGACAAAACTTTATTTCTTTATTTTATTTTTTTGTTTATACAATTTCTCGTTGAAAATTGGAAAAGAATACATCAGTGGGTAAATTAAAAAAAAACAAACCATTTCAAATTTAAAAACCACAAAAAGATGATATGAATTGAGTAACTATTGGATTTCACGTTCAAGATGGAGTTGGGGGAAACTGATCTCTGATCGATTAAAAATTAAAGCTCAATATTAAAAAAGTTAGAACTGGAGAATCAATAACAAGTAATATAAATTTATAATAACAAATATTTAACATTATATTTTAGTATATACAAACTTACAAACTGTTCAGGCAATATCTGAATCTGATCCCATTTAATACACAGGCATTCGCTAGGCTGTTTACGCATTGACACATTAGTAAATATTGTACACACATTCCACGCTACAACTGAATTCCTTTCATTTAGGGTCTTGATATTTACCATTTCGTCTGTGTTGAGATAAGATATTCCACCAAGGATTATGTTCTGGGGTTTATGGCAGTCTTTGATATCACTTGGACGGAACGCGAGTGTTCATCATTTCTCATGACGTATGATCCATCAAAACCCACAGAGTTATCGTTTCTTACTCAACCGGAAGTGGTCTTCATCTAGAAGAGAAACTCTTAGTTGACATTCTATGCGAACCGGAAGTATCGCCAAGAAACTGAAATTAAACCACACAAGTTTGATGTTGGAGTCACTACGATTCGCATGTCACTGATACTTCTTCATCTTCAGATTCAATATGACTATCATCCATATCAATGTCACTGCCATCACTATCTTCCATACCCGGAGCTCTCGGTGATGATGAACCTCCACCTTCTTCCTCTGCTTTCATTCGCTTATGTTTTGTTCTTCTATTTTGAAACCATACTTTAACCTGCAAAATATAACATTTCTCAAGTCAAAAAACTTTTCCAGTCTTTCATGCTGTATGAATATATACTAACAGAAACTTTATTATGAACATGGAAAAGCTGTTTTGAATTTGCAACATGATTTGGAATTCATCAACTCAATTAATGTAACATGTATACATAGTATTTGGAAAAATAATACAACACTTTGCAGGTAATATTTTCGACAAACTGTAAGACGTATCGATTTCCGAGTTCATCATTATCAAAACAGATCATACCGTGCTGTGAAAGGATACCTCAAAACACCAGGTGCGATGAATAACAATTTTCGAATATTTTAGGTGAAAGAAAATACAAATTAAGGGGCTAAACCAGGCTTGAAGTCACAAATTTTCTGTAACTTGAGAGGGTCTATATGTAATTGTGAATTGTTTGCTAATGTCGTGAAGCGTAACCTTATTACGAGATATTTAAGTAGAGTTTTAGAAGGATTGATTGAGACACGAAGATAAAAACATCAGTCATTGATATGTTCTTATATTACAGTAATAGCAGGTCATAGCATGATTGTCTCGATGAACAAAGAGAAAAGTTGATAAAAATCGCATTAGAAATTAGTAGCAATTACGCCATCGCTCTCAAATCCCTAAACACTTCTCGTATTTCAACGCGAGAATCGACGAAGAGTCAACTAACGTTGATAATGTTTGGTGTTAATCGAGTTGGAGAGAGTTTAATAGCTCTTCTTCACGCATACAGATAATATTCAAATATCACTGACAGTTTGTAAACCCGCTTCCCCCCTGCAACCCATCGCTTCATTTAACACGTAATTCACATTCTTTTCAGTTAATCGTTGAATTTGGTGTTATCTGTGTTGTGTTGTGATTATGTTATCATTACAAATCCCAGCAGAACATCTCAGTTGCATGCGGTCAGAGATTAAATAGCCTCTGGCTCGTCCCTGTGGACAAACAGTCTACACGCTTGTTATCCTTCAAACAACTCTTAATCGAATTCTTAGCCAACCGTGCAATATCGCACAAAAAAGAAAGGGTCGCCATCTTAACCTCAAACTGTGGTTACAATAACTGCGGGCTAAATTTTATCTCGAAATATCATTGGACAATAATAAGTGTCATTAAGTCTGAATTGGCAACAAGATAAACCTTAGACTAAACCACTTTAAAAACTCTCTACGCCAAATTGTTTAACCACTACTGAATTTTCTCATTGAATCAACAGATACCTCCGGGACAAATTTACTCTTGAAACCATACCATATTTACAATAAATCATGAAAATTTGCTTAATCAGGAGTCCATTAGTCAGTATGGTTCTAAAAAAGACGATAGTTATATTGAAATGATACTAAACTATCATTCTGATCTAAACCAAATATGATTTCATCAAAAATTTTACTGTGGCTTTAATCGTTTCATAATAATTCATTTCTTTGCTTGGATTTGAAAGCCATTTCGGATGCAGCATGAAAAGCTGAAAGGAGATAGTTTGAATAAGCGTCTGATTAATGATTGTTTTTAAAATAATCGAAGTAATTTGATAGTTTTAACATCAATTTAGAATTATCGTCCTTGTTATTATCCGACATCATTAAAGACTGAGAGAAAAATTAAAACATCAAATTTCACAGCATATTATGTCAGTTATCAGAGATTATCAAAATATAATAAAATTGGAAATGGTGGTTTTATATTACGCGTCGTCATTCTACTTTTAACAACAAATTAATCAGCGTTTGTTTATTTATTTGATTCTATGATGTTTTTGCTTCTAATTCCACAGTTATATATTATATTTCTCATCCAAAACACATTTTGATAACAATCTAATAAACTACCTTTTTATATTTCCTTTTTTTTTTGTAAGATCCATGCTTTAATTAACTTTACTTTAAAAGGTTCATATAATATGCTTCCAAAATATGTTCACTTCGGAATTTTCTTTTTAAAAATTTAAATATTAAAGTTTATCATTTATTTAACCTATACATATAGAACAAATTTCATTTTGCACATGATCTTGTAGTTTAGAATATGTGTACCATGAATTTTGATAAAAAAAATTAAATCTAAAAACAATTTGGTTTACTATTACAGATTTCAGATCATTCCACGATAATATTTGTTTTGGTAATTTAGATTTTTATACGATTTTCATTTCTAAAATATTAAAAACTTAGATCCTTTTTGATTTTGCGATCGGTGAAGTTAATAAATTTAAAACCAACTTCCCATGCTTAAATATGAATATTTTGAATTATATTTGCATATTATATGGAATACTAACCTGTGTTTCACTGAGTTGTAATTTACTGGCGAGACCCTTTCTTTCTTGACCAACAACATAATGATTCTTCTCAAAAGCTTGTTCTAATTGTAATAACTGGGAAGGAGAAAATGCTGTTCGATTTCTCTTTGGTTTTCTATATGGATGGAATAACAAACCGGGATGTGGGCCCACTGAAAAAAATAAGATTTAGATGATGATCTAAAATAAAATATAAAACGATCTCAAGACTTCAATAATTTATACCCTGATGGTTCCAAGAATAGTGACTTATTCCAGGTTTTTTTTCGTGATTTAACCGTTTAAAAAACTATTATTAATTGATAACAATAACAATTTGTGTTAATTTGTTATTAGTGTCTTATATGTTCCTAACGTTTTTCAAGTGTCCATCATTTCATTTTTTCACCGTATAAGATTTTTATTTAAGTAAAATTTGAAAGAAATTGAAAATAAAAGTTCACTTTCCTTTAGCGTCGTAATTACAAAAAGATTAAAGGAATAATGCAGTACTTTCTTTTCAAAGCACGAAACTTTGACAATGAAAGAGATAGCATTCATTATTTTCCAATATCACAGCCATTTAAAGAATATCTGTAGACCAAATAATGGAACAAAGGGTCAAAACACGAGTTCTTTCATACACGTGACTATTGATTAGAAAATATTGAAAAGTTATCCTTTTGATTATGATAAAAGTTTTGATAATGTGTCATATTGTGAAGTATAATATGATAATTAATCTGAAGACATTTTTAATATTGACATAAAATACTGGGCATTATCAAACATATAGTACATCAATAAATCGCTTGTTATTTGTCGATTTCTTTTTTTAATTTATCGCATCAGAATGACAATATTTTCAGACTTTACCTGGCATTGTTCAAGAGCAACAAGTAATATCTTATCACACATTTAACATTCAATGCGCCATTGGTCTGTTGTGGATTTTAAAACTGTTGTTAAGATTGATTGCTATATTCTTGTATTTACTTATAGTTTTCTTTGTCTAATATTTCCAAGACAATTACAGGAATCTAATAATGATTAAATGTTTCGCGGTTCGGTTCGTTAGTAGGCCTATTTTGTTTATTTTTTTTTTATTTTTTCACATCAAATTGAAAATATATATATTGTCTTTGTTTTCATCAATAGACACAAATCATGTCAATGTTAATGGCTTTGAATATAAATGTAGTAATTTTATATGTAGAGGTTTCAGTAAAAGTAATCACAATATAGAGGAATATACACCATATGACTACATCTTTTATTGTAATGACATCCTTCAGTGGATTACATTATATTTATTATTTATATACATGTATGTAAATATTATCATAAAATAACAACACGCCTACAAAAGTTAAAATTATGTTTAAGATTTTAATTTCAAATGAAATCATTGATTTCAGAGCTTCAATTCGGGCCATTTTCCTTCAATATTATTGTATGCCTTACAGAACATATTTCACAGTTGGTTTCATTTCTATATATTATTATTATTAGTAATTATTATCATTACTCGTGTAAGTAAATGTAAAGAAAAACTATATAAATCAGTTTCACCTTAAACTCTCGGTGCATATGTAACAAGATCCATTATTACAATAAAATCTACCTTATGCAAAGACTATATATAAAAGAAAATATTTTTCAATTTATGGAGATATATGGCCCATTATCACGCGTTTTCGTTAGTAAAATTATGAAAGATTTTTAAAAGTGAACACATGTGTTATCTCATAATTATTATGTGTGTTACTAATTCCAAGATTTAAGTCTTCTAACAGAGGTTTAAATACAAAATTCGAAGTTGTGAGTATAATTCAATTAATATAGTTCTATTAAAATACTGTAATTACAGTTATGAGTGATCTGAGAGTCTGTAAACATGTTCATAACATGTTAAAACAGCAGATTTCCTTTTCTCGGTAGAAGCTGTAGCGGCTTTTACTTCCGGTATGCAATGGTAGTTATTGCCTGATTCAATATATTGATTTTGCCTGATTGGTGATCATTTCAAGGTTTTAATTATACTAAGAAATCTGTTTTTTTTAAATCATAATGAGAGAATATATAAAGATTGTTTAAAATGAAACTTACTTGGATAACGAGGATGCATGAAACCAGGATATCTGGCTAACCATTGTTGGTGTGGATGAGGTATATCTCGACCTAGTCCATACAGTAAAGGATTAATAGGTAATGATGATATTTGATGGGTTTGAAACGGTGAAGGATTCACTCCCGATAATACACGATTACACATTCTTAATGGTTGAAATAAACTGCTTTCATTATGTCCGTTTAAATTTGTAAATAAATGTTTTAATTCATCACCAGTGTATCGGTTACATCGGTTCTCCATTTCAGGAGATCCGGTTTTGTCCATTCGTGGAGATTCTGGTGATTTGGAACGCTCCCTTTCATCTGTTCTTCCTATTAAAGCATCTATTGAAAATCCGTGAGGTTTTTTCACTCTCGGTTCCATAGCCATTGTTGCCATTTTTATTTCATTTGATAAAATCTCAGGATACAATGTAAAATGTCCTCTGGTATTAACTAACACAAACACTGTACTTGAATTGATCGTCAGGTATTGAAATATAGTCAAGTTCGTCTGCTATAACAGTTGTTAATGGCGGCTGACCAACGAGAATACTAAATTCCTTACGGCGTTTCGTTGCCTTTAACACTAAATAAGTTGTAGCATTAAACGTTAAACAATTAAACATCGAATAAAATTCATGTGGTGAAAATTACTTCTTCATCCTCCTATCTCTTCTTTTTGTCATCAATTTGACAGGACACAGCCTTCCGGATTCTCATCCAATCAGAATACTCTATTGGTTAGTATGGGCGAGGCGGTAAATTGCTCTGATTATGATTGGTTTAAAAATGGACACGCGATTGTCGATCTATATCAAGATATTTATCATGAAATAAAGAGTGTTAATAAAATGAGTAAAAATCAATCGATGAATATAAAAATTGCGAAAACTCGACACCGTTGCACTGATTGTACACATTATGAATTTTCTAAACCTCAAAGAAATGGCCACAGCTGTACCATATTACCACAAGGCATAGATTTTACAATAAAACAATAGGCGTGAAATCAAATCTCTAAATAATAAGGGGTTATAGATTATATATATTATAGAAGGGGTCAACTAAACACGGTTATGGCCATTAGTTTTAAAATATGATTTCAGATCAACAATAATAAAATGCAGAAACATATGTTGCATATCCCTAGAAAATGACTGCTATTTAGATATAAAGAAGAAAGAATATTAACAGTAAAATAAATCATTTAAGAAAGATGTGTGTGATAAAACGTTATGAAATGCACATTTGATTAAAAATATCCTACATACATTTATTGTCAAAATATCTTTAATTGTATATCCGATAATATACTAGATTTTACTCGTGAATATTGCTACATTACTTCTATTCTCGGTATAACTTTTAAAACTGAGAATTCGGTAGGAACTGCTGTATTTTTTATTCTGGTTTTCGTTGCATTTTTTCTTATCCTAAAAAGTTTGTGTAATCAATTTTACTTCAGTAAAGCATTTACCAGAAAATAAAGAAATTAGAAGCCATATCTGGTCTAGAAATGGAATATAGACTTGAAAGTTCTTTAAACAAAATAGACAGTAATTGATGAGTTTAGATCATTTGGATCGGAAACTAGGAACAATCAGCTTCCTTTTCAGACGGTAGAAAAAACACGTGAGACTAATTTGAAGCTAAAAGGCTTCTTTAGTTTTGGATTGGTAAGGGAGATAATTTGATGTGTTTATAATCGTGTAAATGTTGTTTCGTCTGGAAAGGCTAATTTTATATGACGACAATAACTGTTGTAAAACAGGTTCCTTTTCTTAAAGATCACACCTAAATACCATTTATCTATGAAATGTTGGCTTAATGACATTTTAGAATAAAATATTTGTTACCACGCCATGTATTAACCATTTTATTTTACACCAGTGTGATTTGCAATGATAATGGGAAGAAATTGAGGATGATAATTCGTGCCTTATAACTGAAACTAGTTATTACTGAGAAATTGATGGTAGTTATTATACACTACCAAATATAGCTCTGTGATTGTCAATTAATTTAGCAAAGACATTTATCACAAACTAAATGGGATAATTAATAAAGTCCTAGATAGGGCATAATTGTTAATTTATTGACCCAAGAAAGATTAGGTTCAAATGCGAAAAATCATTAGAAAAACATGGCTTGAAGTGTTCTGATCAATAATATTAAATTCCTGTCTTTGGAAAAATAATACAGCTTCTCTCAAAGCAATTTGCAAATATAAACAACGAGGTCGGACGATTTTAAAATTTGCTAACGATTACAAATCTCTCATTTTTCATGAATTCAATGCAAGTTTTGGGTTCAACGGTTTTTTAAAAATCATATCCTTGTGAAGTTCAAACCTATATATTTCTAAGAATTAGCTTTATTACAATTAAAGCTATCTTTTATATCATACTATAAGGTACACAAAAATACCTTTATCAGCCAAATAGATTCAGATAATAGTATTGTTGGGGTATTTGTTATCATTGATGTAAAAATATACGTCTTTTAGTATAACTCTCAGATCTATGTTGAAGAGTTTTATATCATACAAACATGAAAATAAGTAGCTTAGTGATTCTAACACTACAATAATAGGTTAAAATGGGCTTCTTGATAACTGATAAAAGAAAATATGATAGATAGAGTGTTTTCATCATATACGTCTCATTTTTCTTGCCAACATAGTCTTTGGTGAACCTAAACCCATCTACCTTATAATTTACATATATAACTGACATATAACATCTAATATTTAACAATAAATACATACGTCAATCATCTAGAGCTGTAATAGTGTCTAGGAATGGCTTAAATATAAAACTATATCAACCGACAAATATCCTTTGACTTTGATACAAATTTATGCCTTTCTTGCAAATGATAGCAATTACTACAAGTCGTGGCAAGCTAATTTATCAGACAAATTGCCGTGAATTTTGTCATCAATCTTCTACTAATTTACAATTATCGTAAAATACACGCAGGTTTTACAAAGAAGAGAAAAACAATGTCTGAAATAAAAAGACACATGGTTCAATGATGCCTTACTGTTCTAC